TGAGAAAACAGGAAGCTTTGAAAAGTACAAGAGAAAGCAAGATGAAATCTATTTGCAGGAGGGCCCCTGGGGACATGTGAGGCATTGTTAAGCAGGCAGTTCATGCAGCTATATCCTTCCTTCTGCTGAGGACACTTTGCTGCCAAAAGGCTCCTATCTGGTCACTGCCTTAACCCTCTCCATGCCAGCCTGAAAACTCTGGCCCCAAGAACTGGGCTCTACAAAATATCCCAGGTAATGTCTCTCCTTTTTTTTGAGCATCAAAGAACTTGAGAGGGAAACAGAGGCAACTGGGCAGAGGAAGTGAAGACCCTTTTCCGGGAGACCTCACCCCTCTTCTGCTTTCAGCCCTCTGCCCCATGCTGCCGATGACCTGGTGATTCATCACTTAGGCAGCTCCCGGTTTCACCCATCTCCAAAGAGAATTTGTCCCGGAAATTCTGGATGGCTGCTTTTCCTGGACAGGTTTTCTAAAGGCGGCAGCTGGTTCTTTGCTATTATGGAGTGCAGCCACTACAAGGACAGTATCCAAATCAACCGCTGCGTGCTTACGCAGAATCTGGGAAGCACATTTCTGAAACAGGGCTTAAGTGTATGAGCGCAGGTCTCTGGACTAACTCCAGTTGGCTCTGAGCAAGGAGTCCAGAAGTTTAACTATCCTTCACAAAAGAGTCCAGAAAAGCAGTAATTTATATATACATATATGAGAGAGGTGTGGAGGGGAGATATGCTGGAAACCTTTCCTTTCCTCTTAATTTTCCATCCTATTGTCAATGTCTAATTGTGCAGTTCACGAACATTCTTCTCTCTAAAGACAGCTGCGTCCACTGATCACAGAGCCAGAAACATTTTATGCTTCAAGAGAAGGAAGGATTTATGTCAGAAAGAAATTTTAATGGTGAGAATCCCAAGAAGCTAGAGTCTGTTGCTAAATAATCTTTTTTTTTTTTTCCTGGTTGTCGGGTGGAACAGAGTTAACTGCACCACAGTGGGCTGCAACAACACCTGCTTCTCTCTCCCACCCATGTCAATTATGGGAAGAGAATAATTTCCCAGTTACCATGATCAAACTTGGGATTAGTTGTCTGGGCCTGTTCTCCAACATCAACATTGTGGCCAGCCAGCCATTTGTCTCAGTTGGCTTTGGATTGCCTAGCAATGAGCAAAAGGCCTCCTTCTTTCCCAACTCCCTATCCCCTATAATCTCCATCCAGGGCCTCATTTCTAAGAATCCAGCACAACATGGATGCGAGCAAAGCCCACAGAACACTTTCTAAAAGGTCTAGCTTTACAAACACAAAGAGCTGGCTGTATTAACTCTAAACTCAAACATACTCTGAAAGTCTTTTGAAATGAACAAAGAGAAAGGGACATAAAGGATACCAAGTAAAGTGACATTATGAATAGAGATTAGAAGAGGGAGAAGGAGAGGAGAGATCTGATGGTAAAGGTGGAGACACTTCTGGTTCTTTCCAGAAGGCTCTTGATCAAGGTGACAACCCACTGTTGTTTCAGAGATGTCTATAAAGGGAGCAGGGATACCTAAGTCTGACAAAATTCCCTTTAAGGTCCAGTTCTTTTGGTTTAATAGTACTCTAGTCTAATAATACTCTCTAGGCAGTCTCTTCACCTATAATGTGGCCTCTTGAGAGAACAGAGCCCCCAGAAGTGACCTTTGCAGATGACTAGTCTAATTCCTGTGCCAGGCCCATCTATTATTGTGAAGTATAAACTATGCATCATTCAAAGATGACATTCTACTTTATACATACTCTTTGTAAGACCTGGTGATGTAAACTACACAGCCAGAGCCTAATCAGCTTTTAGAAAAGAGGTAAATCAAGTTTCTGAGCCATAAAGTTGTGCTTGGACCATGTATAGTGTCCTGTCATTGGGTGGAGGAGAGCTTGTCTGTGAGGGGAGCATGGGGTATCCCGCTACTGGGCTCACAGCATCACTGTGCTCAGGATGCCTCATTCTGTGCAGCTTTTATGCACCACTGCTAGAGAGTCCTCTCTAGATCTTCAAGTCAAAGAAATTGTCCAGATCCTTGAGGGTAGAGAAGTAGAAATGTCCCAGTGCTCTCAAATCTTACATAGCCAGGATTGGCTCTACATGTACCTCAATTTCAGAGGTATTTTCTGCCTGGTTATATCACCACTGCTGGACCAGAAGGGGTGAAGCAGAAGCACAATCCAGTTGGACTGGAAAGATCGGGGTGGGGGGGAAGCTTGTTATTGGTTTTAGGAGAAAAACTAGATAATGAACTCTTTCATATTTTCCCAACTTTACTCCACTATTTAATAATTAAGAAAATTTTAAAAAATACAGTCTATGCTTGAAGTCTCAAAGCAAATGCAACAAGGGAATGAAGACTAGCACAGAGACCCTGTTCACACCTCCATTGTAGCAGATAGTAACGCTTTGCAGGAGGTGGCAGCTGTTATGGGTGAAGCACTGTGGGGCTCAGTGGAGTGGGAAGAAAATCAAGCAAGGGCCTTCAGGCAGAGAGAAAAGCATCTCTATGGAGTCCTACAGCGTCACCTGTGCAATACAGCCCTCACTGCTTCAAAGCAGTGATTTCAGCCAGTGCCCTGATTTTACTATCTGGAATTATTTATTACTACTACTACTACTACTACTATCATCATCATCAATGTTGGTCCTGAGGCTTGAACTTAGGGCCCAGGCCCTGTCCCTTAGCTTCTTCATTTAGCTTCTTCATTCAAGTCTTGCGCTCTACCACTTGGGCCACAGCTCCACTTCTTTTTCTTTTCCTTTTTAGTGATTAATAAGAGATAAAAGGTTTATAGACTTTCCTGCCCAGCCTGGTTTTGAACCTCAATCCTTAGATTTCAGCCTGCTAAGAAGCAAGGTTACAGGACTGAGCTACTAGAGCTAGGCTTAGAATTCTTCATAATGTTTGAACAAGGGGCTTTGCATTTGTACTTTGCACTGGGCCCTGAATATTCTGCAGCCCGTCCTGCATGCTACTTCCTTCTCCTTTAGCTGAATCAAAATGGACAGAACTTGACTGTCAAATCACTGGGAACTTGGAGGAAAGGAGGGGAAACAGAAGTGGGTGGCAGGAAGAGGGCTGGAGAGAGAAGATTCCCTCTCCCACCCCTGGACAATACCCACATGGTCTAGGGAAGCTCTGGTGCCTGACCCCTCACCCTGTCCAGGAGTTGCCAACACAGGAAAGAAGTCAACTTCACAGGGGGTTCCTTAAAGTGGGAGCCTTACTGCAGAGAAATGGAAGCAATATCAGTTTCTGGAAGTAGGGAACTCCACTTCAGGAAGATAGGTCCACAGAGTGTCATCTGCACCCTATCAGATGGAGGAAAGAGGAAATCTTCCATTTCAAACAGAAGAGCTCTACTGTTGTGTGTGATTTCCTCTTCCCCCCTCCCCCCTCCAGCCCTCTGTTCATGACCGGGATGACACCTGATGGAACAATCCTTAAACTAGCCAATTTGGATCAAGACTCCTGCTCATTTCAGAAGTAGAGACGAAAAGAGCCCTGGAGGTGGAACAACCTTGGGAGGTCTTGCGTGTTACAAATTTCTAGCTCATGTATTTCTTGGCTTAAGAAATAAAAAGCCAACCAAGGTAATCTGACACGAATATGAACAAAGATGCTCACTGCCTGTGACTATCTTTAGATGGTTATGCTCAGTTATTTATTAGTCAAAACAAGCATTTCCGAGGTCTTTGCAAGAACTAACTTTGGAGTCCCCTTCTTCTCTTCTAGATTTATTTATTTATTTATTCAGGTGCTCTAACACTTGGGCCATGCCTCCCGTCTTCTATATTTAAGTACATTTTAAATTGGCACATAAGACTTCTACGTATTTATGGGGTACAATGTGACACTTGGATTCATATACTCAGCATGTATAGAAGTAGTATTCTCATCACCTCAAACTTCTTTAATTTCTTAGTGTTGAGAACATTTAAAAATGCTTCCTCTAAAGGCTGGGATGTAGCTCAGTGGCAAAGCACTTGCCTAGCAAATGCAACATCCTGGGTTCGATTCCCAGTACCAAAAAAGAAAAGAAAAAACATGCTTCCTCTAGCTATCTTGAAATATAAATTCTTACTATTTAATACTTGGCCGTGCTGTAGAATACTAGGACTTTTTCCTCCTGTCTACCTGTAATATTGCAATCCTCATCGACCTCTCCACTTCTTCCTCCTGCTCCCAGCCACTATTCTATACTTCTGTGAGGTCAACCTATTTAGCTTCTGCTTACAAGTGAGTGCATGCAGTATTTGTCTTCCCATGCCTAGCTTGTTTCATTTAACATAATGTCCTTCAGGCTTATCTATATTGTCACAAATGACAGGATTTCCTTTCTTTAGTGCTAAATAGCCTTGCACTGTATACACATACCTTATTATCCATCCATCTTTCCATCCATCCATCCATTAATCCATCCTCTGATGGACACATGCACTAATTCCATACCTTGACTACTGTGAATAGTGCAGTAACTATCATAAGGTCTAGCAATCTGCCATTGACCAAATATCTAAAGAGAAGGGAAAGAGCATGCTACACACGCTTTCATCTTCTCTAGGAGGCCTGTCTTCAAATGATGAGGTTCAGCCCAAGGGTCAGACAGGTAAAGGGACAGAGCTGTACTAAAAATTTCTCTGAATCTTTTCTAGGTTCCCCTCACTGGATTGTATGGGGTAGAGTGACACATCTGGTTTCTTCATTGTACAATAGAAATGTACCACATACCAACCCATCCTCCTGTAAGTCCTACCCTAGGATCTTTCCTCCACTGATAAAAGAAAACAACCAGGGCAGGTTCTTTAGGGACCAGTCAAGAGCTGGTACGTGCACAGGTGTGGTGAAAGAGGAATAGATGTAACTTGAGATTGGCCACAGGCCCACAGTGAGCCTCTGACTAAACAGAGCAGAAGGGTCCCTGGAGACTCTTGCCCATTGGGCACTTGCTCTGCCCTCCGAGTCACCCCTCTGTGCCCACCTTGCACTTGAAGGGCTTCACATCTGAGTGGACGATCATATGAGCCTTGAGGGTCTGCTTCTGCACGAAGCTCTTGTAGCACAGGTGGCACTGGTAGGCACGGATATTGGTATGGATCAGCACGTGTCTCTTCATGTTGGCCAGCAGGGTGAACTCCCGCCCACAGATCCCACATTTGTGCTCTTTCACACCCTAGGGAGGCAAAGTTCAAAGCAATGTATGGTTAATGGGAATGGCTTTCATGACAAAAAGCAAGAGTTGAAGTTCAAAGACAAGCTCTAAATGGCATGTTAGCTTTGTTAAGTTATTACTTCCTTGAAAAGTGCTGATTGCATAAATCCATTTTCTAAATTTTTGAGTACTAGCTGGGTGCCAGTAGTTCACACCTACAATCCTAGCTACTCAGGAGGCTGAAGTTTGTGGTTTAAAACTAACCTGGACAGAAAAGTCTGTGAGACTCATATCTCTAATTAACTAGCAAAAGCTGGAAGTGGAGATGTGGCTCAAGTGGTAGAGTGCCGGCCTTGAGGGGAAAGCTAAAGGACAGTGCCCAGGCCTGAGTTCAAACTCCAATACCTTCCAAAAAGAAAAAGAAAAAACAAAGAGAAAAAGAGAAAGAAAGAGAAGAGAGAGAAAGAAGAAACAAAAGAAAGAATAATTAAAAAAAGAAAGAAAGAAAAACAAACAAAAAAACCCTAAGCACCTTACACTAGCCAGACCATTAATGCGGAAAACTGTTGTTTTTGTTATTATTAATGTTGACAGAGTTCATTCTAAAATAACAGTTTGAGTAGATTAATAGGATTTTGGTAAGAGCACTGTAGATAATAAAGTGAAATGAGTCTGTAATCTAGCTTTCAAGGGAACAAAAAACTAAAACCTAACCTGACATTATTATTTCCCATAGGAAAGCCAGGTCCTCTGGTCTAGAAAAGTCTCACAAAGGGACTAGAACATCCCAAAAAGAGTTATTTATCTTTCTGTCAATCAACTACAACCCAATCGACCCTTTCCAGCTTCCCCGGAGCTCCTCCAAGCCATGCTGACCTTGTGTGACATGCTTTTGGAGTCTCCAGAATCCAGTTATTTCTGATGAAGAAACTTGTCAAGGGACAGCTTTCTGAATCAGAAACAGCACAGAAATTTTGCTTGTTTCCTTGCTATGTGTAACGTGTTTGAAAATGTGAATGTTCTTGCCCTCAGTGAAGAACATTCAAGGAGACCAACAGTCAGAGCAGAGTATTAACTAATCTTGACTAGCTGTCACTTCCTGAAACACTCTTTAAGAGATCCAGAATGCCCTTTGCTTTTTCACTTCCTTCCTCCTTCCATCCCTCCCACTACCCCTCCCTCTCTCCTCCTTCCCTTCCCTTTCCCTTCTTTTAAGATGGAGATTTCACTATGGTAACCAAACTGATCTCAAATTCATAGACTCAAGTAATCCCCCTGCCTCAGTCTCCCAAGTAGCTGGGAATACAGGTGTGTTCTGCCATGCCAACTTGTTTTCAAGACAGGATCTCATTAATTTTTCCCTGTACTATCCCCAAACTTCAAACCTCCTATTACCACCTCCTGAGTAACTGGACTAGGGCTATGTCTTTCCACACCCATCTTGTTGTTTGCAGAATTCTTTAGGAAGAAGGCAAGAGAATAGCAGCCGGGAGACAAAACCCTGGAGCATAAAGGAAGCTACTCTGTCTCTGATTCTATATGGGAAACATGGGTAGGGGGAAGGGATAGAGCAGGGCAAGTCTTGTGTTTAAGACTGAAGGGCTGCTGTTGGTGTCTGAGAGTTGTTGAAAATTAAAGAATATAAGGAGAAGCAAAGCAGCTGCTATACAGTGAGCATTCAATAAATACAACTTCTCACGGCTTGCTGACACCTTCAATTAAAATGCATTTTGTTCCCTGAATCAAATAAAACCTGTTTCAGATACCAGCTGTTTCTCTCATTGGGGCTTCATTTACTAATGCACCCGGACTCCTTTCTACATGTACAGGAGCCCATGAAATAAGCGGCTAGTCCCCTTTGTGTCTGAGTCCAAGACCATGTCCTTTCCTGATGGCTCCTGCTCCCATGATACCTACAGGTGCCTTTTGACAAGGTGCCTTAGACAAACAGAACTCACAAGGCAGCCTCACTTTTTCTCTCTACTGTGCAATCCTTTTTTTTGGGGGGGGGGGGTCCAGTCGTGGGGCCTGGGCGCTGTCCCTCAGATCTTCAGCTCAAGGCTAGCGCTCTACCACTTGAGCCACAGTGCCACTTCCGGCTTTTTTTTTTGCTTATGTGGTGCTGAGGAATCGAACCCAGGGCCTCATGCATGCAAGGCAAGCGCTCTACCACTGAGCCACCTTCCCAGCCTCCCCTCTTTTTTTTTTATCCTAACTTGACAAATGAAACTCAGGAAAGCCCCACAGCGGGGAGAGGCATTATCTCCACTGGGTGAGGTCCTAGGCTGATGTACTGGAACTGAAGAATGTTTTAGACACTTTTTCTACAAGTCTTTCCTGTCAAGAAAACCACTGAAGCCAAAGGTGAAAGCAGAGGTGGGGGGGGCTACTTCCTCCTTGGCAGGTCAAAGAAGACACAGGTCAGATCAGCAAGGGGCTGATGTCATGGATACCAACCAGAGCCTTATTTGGTTCAGCCTGAAGGCCTCTAGGCTGGTGGTTACAAACTAGATTGAATTCAGAATACGGTCCTGCTGGGCCTGTGTTTCTCCCTGATGACCTAAGCCAAGGAAGGCAAAATGGTTCTCCTAATATAACCCCATAGGCCAATGACCAAGCAGGCGGTGTCTCAACCCCAGAGAGGCACAGGCCCAGCAGGACTGGACCAAGATCTGTGTTCCTCACAGCCACCTGAATGGGAAGTAGGCTCACAATGGAGTAAGCAAGCAAACCAAAAGGCTGCTGCTGCTGCGGGCTTCAATAGAAAAAGAGTGAATTCTCTAGAAGTCTCACTGGTGTGTCCCAGGCAAGGAGGTAATCTAGGTAGGGTCTGTTGACACACTCACTGCTCCCCTGAATGAAGTTTCTAGAAACCAAATTCCAGGGATTCTTGGGGAACTAGGCAGCAACAGCTACAACTACCAGCTGTTTCCTTCATCCTTCCTCACTCTCCTCTCCAAATGCCTGCATTGTTCATTTTCAGGCCCACTTGAGACTCTAAGAAAGCTGTTGGGGGGAAGGCCTTGATTGATGTCTGTGGTCTTGCTGCTGGGTCTGTTTGAAGGTGGAGAAGGGAGCGCCTGGGAGCTCAGGTGATGTGAGCCTCTTGCCTAGGATCGTACAGCAAAGCAGCCAAGGACCGGCTCATTGCCCCTGCCCTGCCCAGGCCCAGCTCATCTGCCCCAGCTTCCAGGCCCAGCTCAACCCCCTCCCCACTCTGAGCCCAATTCATGCCCTCTACTTCCTTCTTCCAGGCCCAGTTCATCTCCCCTCCTCGCTTATACTCCGCCCCCCTCCAGGTCCAGTTCCTCCCCCTCCCCCCATTTTAGGCCCAGCTCATCCCCCATCCCCCTCCGGGCCCAGCACCCAGCCCTGCCTGCGTGGGGAGCCCCACAGTACCTTGTGAGTGAGCGAGTGCTGCTTGAGGTGGTGCGGCTGCACGAACTCCATGCCGCACTCCGAGCAGATGTAGGGCCGGATGTCCTTGTGCTTCATCATGTGGTTCTGCAGCTGGCTCGGGTACTGGAAGGTCTTGTCGCACTCGGAGCAGTGGTACTGGATGGGGCCCCGGTGGGTGGTGAGATGCCTCTTGAGCTGGGCCAGCGTGGGGAAGTCAAGGCCGCACTCCACGCAGATGTTCTCGCGCCCGCCCGCGTGCTTGGCCTCGTGGGCCTTGAGCTCGCTCGGGTAGGCGAAGCCGCGGCCGCACACGCGGCAGTTGTGCGGCTTCACCTCGCTGTGCTGCATCATGTGGCGCTTCAGGTGGCTGGTCTGCGTGAAGGCCTTGTGGCACACCTGGCACTTGTGGGGCCGCGTGCCCTGGTGCGTGAGCATGTGCGTGTGCAGGTGGCTGAGCTGCTTGAAGAGCTTGCCGCAGCGCGCGCAGGCGTGCGGCTTGATGCCGCTGTGGCCCAGGATGTGCGTCACCAGGTTGTACTTGGACGTGTAGGACTTCTCGCAGGTCGGGCACTGCCAGCGCTTCTGCGGGCCGCCCACGTCTACCAGGTAGCTGTCGTCGATCTGCACGTTCACGTCCACGCGCTGCGCCCTGGGCGCGGCCTCCTCACCCTCGCGGGGCTCGGCCTTGCGGGGCAGCGCCGCGGCGGCAGCGGCGGCGGCGGCCTCGGCGGGGGCGGGGGCCGGCTTGGGCAGGAAGGCGTGCCGGCCGAAGGGGAAGGGCGAGGCCGCCGGCACCAGCAGGGGGAACACCAGGCCCGCGGGCATCTTGGGGTAGTAGGGGTAGGGCGTGGGCAGGAAGGCGGGGGGCGCCGGCTGGGCCCACACGGCGCTGGGCTTGAGCGGCTCCCGCTTGATGGCTTTGCCCTCCAGGTGCTCCAGGGTGCGGCAGAACTGGAAGCCCACGTGGCACAAGTCGATCATCTGAGAGTCGCGCTTGGGGTGCGAGGCCCGGGGCGCCGGCGGCGGCGGAGGCGGAGGCGGGAAGAGCATCGGGAGGCTGGGGGGGCCGTGGCTCTGGGCGCCCTCGGGCGTGAGGGCGAGCGTGGCTTCCTCCGCCGGCTGGGCGGAAGGCATCTTGGTGGGCATGCTCTTCCGCTTCCGGGAGCCACTGCCTTCGAAGACCCCCGGGAACTCGTCCAGGTCCCCGGCTGCCGGAAGCTCATACCGAAACTGGGAGAATGGGCCCCGGAGAGCTTCTGGGAAGGGGTGTCTGGGGGGCGCCTTCCCCCGGGAAAGGGCCGGCTGGAGGCTGTGGGGGAAGCGGGGCGCGCCCTCCGCACCCAAGCTGAAGTCCTCATCCTTGACCAGCTTCAGGGCCTTCTGCATCCTGGGCGAGTTCCCTTTGAAGAGAAGGACACATCACTGGATGGGTTTTCTTTGTTTTGCTGTGTTTTCCGTTTTCTTTTCCCTTAGGGTTTTGTTTTGTTTGCCTACGTAGATACTCATTTATGAAGAGTAATACTTGCCTCAATCTAGGGTCTTAAAAAAATCCCTGTTGATGCAGCACTGGATAAGGACGGGGCTCCATCAGATTGAGCTCAGGGTGAGTAAATCCAGTTACAGACACATGGGCTGGGGACTGGAGGTGTTTGAGAAGAACTCGTAACAATTCTTAAAGATTCTGGAAGGGATGTGGCCAAAAGGGAACCCTACTGCATTGTTGGTGGGAGTGTAAACTTGTTCAACCACTTTGGAAGGCAGTATGGAGGTTCTTCAAAAGACTCCACATAGAACTCCCCTATGATCCAGCAATCCCACTTTGGGGCATTTACCCAAACAAGGCCATACTAAAGCTACCAGCACAACTATGTTTATCGCAGCATTATTTACAATAGCAAAGATATGGAACCAGCCCAGATGCCCCTCAGTATACAAATGGATCACAAAAATGTGATATATATATATATATATATATATATATAAATTCTATGCCTCCATCAGAAAGAATGACACCACCCCATTTCTTAGGAAATGGTTGCAAAGACTTGGAAAAAATTATATTAAGTAAGCCAGGCCCAAAGACACCTAGGTCCCATGGTTTCCCTTATTTGCAATAACTAGTGTAAGTCTAGGACAAGCAGAAAAGGTCAAAAGCTATGTACATATGACCAGATAAGATGATTCTAAGCAAAATGAACCCCAAGATAGAAACATAAGAGGTTTTATCTTTCTTGCTGTTGTTTTTAATGTATATATAATGTACTATGTGATTTTTTTGTTTCTTTTGTATGTTCTTCCCCCATGGTATAACCCCTGTTTTCACTGTATTTGATTCTGGTGCCCTGCATCTTTTATATACATTTTTCTAATTTGGGGAGGAGAAGGGGAAGGATATAGGTTGACCCATTATAACAATGAGATGTACAAGACACTATGTTAAAAACGAACTTAACAACTGATAGGGGGAGATTGGGGAGGTGGAGAGGGTAGGGATGGTAGGGGAAAAACAAAGGAAGAGGTAACAATGCTCAATAGGAAATGCACTCATTACCTTACTCATGTAATTGTAACCCCTCTGTACAGTATCTTCACTAAAAACTTTAAAATTTTTAAAAAGAATTCTTGCCATCCTTGTTTGGGTTTACAGTGAGAATGTCAAGGCCCAGAGAGAGGCAATGACTTGCTCAAGTCACACAGATATTCATGACAGAGTCACCAACACTGGAACATATTGGTGTCATAGCATTTCAATTTGAGGTGCAGGTACTAACGGTGACTTAAATGTGTGTGTGTGCTGTGTGTGTGTTTTAGGATGCTTTCTTCCATAACAAAGCGGGTATTCACTGATACTCTTATGTTGCACTCAGATTTCTTATTTCTGACTCAGCAAGGTATTCGGCTGAGAAGGATTGAGTGGGCGAGATCCACATAATTAAGTATAAAGTATACTGACAACTCGAGGTTATAAGGCCATTTTGGCAACTTACTTGTTTTGATATTCAAGGAGAAGCATATCAGTGGTTATAAATCTCTAAACCTGCAGCTTAGTCTCTCACAGCCTTTGGTTGTTCCTGTGATGTTCACCATATCTTCTAGTAGGCCAGTTACTATTTCTTGGTGACCATATGAGGCATGGCCGAGAGAGCTGGTGGGGCAGAAGTCTAGACCAGAGACTGTGCCCCTCTTAATTTTCTTCCTTACATGGATCGTTGATGGGATGAGTCAATGATTGGTTCCACCTTCCTAGCAAAGGGTCTTTCTTTCTGTCCAAGTTTTCTGACTTTGATGGGCTCTCTTTGTCATTAGATACCCCCGAGGAAATAGCTGGCCCAATCAGATCTAGACTAGAGCCACTGGAGATAGGGCTAGGATGGCTCTGCTCCTGAAAATGGCTACAAACAGGTGCTTTAGGGTGAAGACCCTGGGTTGAGGGGACCAAAAGCTTCCAGGACTTTCTATAGCCATTGGTAAGATAGATGGAGTTTTCACAAGTGTCCAACTAATCCCTAACTGCATGGACATTTTCGAAGAGGTTTTGAGTAAAATTAAAACAAAAATAGATCCTTTTATATTTGATGACCAAGTTCACACATTAATGACCCAAATAAGCCCTTATAAGGTGAACATTTGGTATTATTTAAAGCTGTTGAGTGCAATTATCAGAGAACTTAAAAAATGACTATTAGAATTTGCTTTGTGCGGGGCTGGGAAGGTGGCTCAGTGGTAGAGTTCATGCCTTGCATGCCAGAGGCCCTGGGTTCGGTTCCTCAACACCATATAAGCAAAAAGAAAAAAGCCAGAAGTGGCACTGTGGCTCAAGTGGTAGAGCACTAACCTTGAGCTGAAGAGCTGAGGGATAGCGCCCAGGCCCAGAGTTCAGGCCCCATGACTGGACCCAAAAAAAAAAAAAGAATTTGCTTTGTGCTTATCTGAGATGGAATGTGTCTCTACCTAGCTTGTCATTCTTTCCTTGGGCTGAGGGTTTAGTTATTAAGAGTGAGAGCTTGTGTGTCGAGTAAACGCAGGGCTTTCTTCTTCCTAAAATTCCAAATTGTGAGTTTTTACAGCTATGAGCTCAGGCAATTATAGGAAGTGATGATGGCAGTAAGAGGAGGAAATGCCTTGGTTTATGAGATTGGGGGATATTAAGACGGAAGTTGAGGTATTGCTATTGTCAGAAAACACAAGTAGGATAGGGAAAGCAAAGGCCTTTTGATGGTTCCCTCGTGTTTATTAGGTGGTCTTTTGGCTTGTAGTTGAGCATATTCTGGTCTTGAGACTCACTCGGAGTTATAGGAGGTGTGGATCTGGTCCAAGATTTTGCTGCATCTATTAAAAATAACTGGCTTTCAGACAAGGCTAAATGTGTCCTATTGAATTGAAAGGAAAATGGTGGATCCTTTTTCTGGGATTTCATCTCAGAGTCCCGTTGGTTTTGCAACCCCCTAAAAGATAGGTTTCTTTTGTTTGTTTGTTTGTTTAAAGCCTGCTCTGATTGGAAAGGGTCCTTCCAAACTGTGCCTGTCAGTCACAGCAGGATGAGCCCCAAATCAAACTGATCCTCTGTTTTATTCATGACTAATGATGTGTAATATTTTTAAGTCATGTGTTGTAGCTTATACTGGAAAACTACCTACTTAGTAGGAAATAGTAGCCCTAATTTTGAAGCTGAAGGTATTTTGGTTTATGCTCAATAGTATTGCCTTGTTTAACTTATCTGTTTTTAGTTTGACATTATCCACTAATTGATTCCTATTTGTGACACTCATAAAAAAGCTAATATCAAAAAATGTTTATTTTTAGTGTTTTCATTTTTATATTATCAGCATTAACCTAGTAAATCAAAGAAACATTTTTTTAAATTGTGAAAATACCGTACAGAGGGGTTACAATTACATGAGCAAGATAATGAGTAAATTTCTTATCAAGCATTGTTGCCTCCTCCTTTGTTTCCCTTCCCATCTGTCCCCCCCCCCCCCCTCCCCGGCCCAAGTTGTAAAGTTCATTGTAAAGTTCGTTTTTCGACATAACAACTTGTACATCTCGTTGCAATGGGTCCACCTGTATCCCTATTTAAACGATTTGTTTTTTCGTTTTTTCCCTTCCCCTCCACAAATTATACCAATATCAAATACAGTGAAAGCAGGGGTCATACAAAGAAATCATCTTATAACTATGTTAGAAACAATCGCATGAAAGAAAAAAACATAAAGAAACATTTTGAACAGAAAGGATGTGAGGTTTTAAAACACAAATGGTACAATTTTAGGTTTCCAAATGTAGAGACGTACACATACACACACACATTCTAATTTCTTGTTTCTTTAAGGTTTTAAAATGAATGCACCCCAGTTTGTGCTGTGTATATGATTATCTCATCTCTGAAATAACATCCTAGAGTAAAATCAGCAACCCAGGAAGCTTAAAGAAGCATGGTATTCATGCATGGACCTCTGTACAGATCTTTAGAACAGCAGTTCCCTTACGGAAGAGCATCTCAGGGAGCATTGCCAACCCTACAGAGTGTGGTCAAGGAGAACTTGCTATTTCCCCCTTGGCCTTCTTGGAGAGCAGTCAACTGTGGCTTGGGCTAGCTATTAATGTCCCTGTCTTTGAGCTCAGGAGAAGCCCTAAGGGGGAAAGAAGAGCAACAACAAGAAAAGCCAGAAAAAAAACCTATACTAGGGATGGGGAGCTAGAAGCAGAGCTCAAGGCAATTTATCTTCTAATCAGTCAAGTTACAATTCTTCAAAATGTTAATAGATTCTTAGAAAATTTCAGTGTGTACCAACTACATGTCCCAACTTCTGTTTCCAAAAATAGCCTCCCCTCCCCCCACACATCCAGGACACCAGTAGGATTCTTTGACAAGAGGCAGTAAAAACTTGGAGCTAGTGATCTGGTTGGAAGAACTGTGCCTTCAGGAAAGGACCTGGAGGTAGATGGGGACAGCTCAAGCCTTTCCTGAGAGGCCATCTCTGGCGGTGCCCAAAGCTCCTGGAAAAAGACCCAGCAGGTTATAAGACAGTGTCCCACCAGGGTATGTGGAAACAATACACAGAAAAAAGAACTGAAATGTTAGAAGTAGAAAGCTGAGGGAGAGTGGGAAGAGCATCAGTTTGGAGATTGGGATCTGGTCTTTAACTCTGGCTTTGTCTAATCAGTGTGTTACAGACTTAAAATAGTGTTGTGAGTCATTGTATTAAAACACTGGACAAGCCGGGTGCTGGTGGCTCATACCTGTAATCCTAGCTACTCAGGAGGCTGAGATCTGAGGATCGCAATTCAAAGCCAGCCTGGGCAGAAAAATCCGTGACTCTTATCTCCAATAAACCACCAGAAAACCAGAAGTGGCACTGTGACTCAAGTGGTAGAATGCTAGCCTTGAGCTCAAGAGCTG